AACGAATCGATTCGTTAATGGCGGACGACCGCGCAATACGCTAAAAAACCTCCAAATGGGACAGGGGGAACTTCTGAAGCTTAATTAAACAAAAACAACTATAAAAACCCTTAGAAAACCAAAAACAACTATAAAACTTGCCCCAGACATGCGGAAATAATAACGAAACGACCTCAAAATGATAACGAAACGAATACAATAACGAAATACAAAACATTTACGAAACGATTTAAAAATTCGTTTTTTAAAAAATTGCTCCAGACTGGTTCGTTATCGTTTTGTAATTGAAAAATTAACGAATTTTTTAACGAATTACGAATTAACGAAACGAAACCGCCCAGCCCTAATATCTACTACTGGAGTATTAGACATGGCACAGATATGCTGATGAGCTTTAGCGGGGGGGGGGGGGGCTTGGGGGGCTTCAGCCCCCCCCCCCGAAATTCTCATGGTGGTCCGCGAGAAGGCCTTACTGGTACATTATTTAAACTGTTATGTTTATTCATATCATGATCTGATCACCATACTCAATATATCCCATATGCATGGGGGTATTGGGGTAATATACAAAAGGTTTGCTAGGGTAGACCCTCTTTCACTCAGACTCAGCCGCCCCCCCCCCCACCCCCCCCCCCCCCCCCCCCAAATCAAAATCCTGGCTACGGGCCTGGATGAGTGCAAATGTCCAGTTCCCTGCCAAACAAAGATACGGATCTCAGGAAACAAAGGTGCGAGACTCAAGCTGGTTCTAGGGTGTTCACTGTAATCATCTGTATAGCAATACCACTTTCTTCCATGCTACAGGTAGTCCTCAGGTTATGAACAAAGGCTCTGTTTGTGCTTAAGTTTAATTTATATGTAAGTCAGAAAAGGGTGTTTTTTTTTAGTGTAACTCCAACCAAATACATAAGTAAAGGTAAGGTAAAGGTTTCCCCTGACATTAAGTCCAGTTGTGTCCGACTCTGGGGTGTGGTGCTCATCTCCATATTACCACACTTTTATCCTGCCCTTTTCAGCCTGAGGGCAACTCAGGGCCGCGAACAAACTGGCAGCAATTAGATGCCGAGCACACATAAATACATCATTTAAAACAGGTCAAATCACACAATAAAATCCATAATACAACAGTTTAAAACTATAAAAAATCAATGACTTTGGAGTTAAAATCCATGTCCATTTGCATTGTTAAGCCATTCCATATTCGTTCACAATACTGAGCTGTCTGGTTACAATGAGGCTCCAAAAGTTTGCTCTTTTCCTAAAGGTCAGGAGGGAAGGGGCTGATCTAATACCCCAGGGAGTTCCAGTCGAGGGGCCACCACTGAGAAGGCCCTGTCTCCTGTCTCCGCCAAATGCACCTGTGCAGCAGGCGGGACCAAGAGCAGGGCCTCCTCAGATTATCTTAAATTCCTGGAAGGTAAGGGGAGACACGTTCGGAAAGGTAAGTTGGGCCGGACCCATTTAGGGCTTTATATGCTAAACCCTCACTTTGAATTGCGCCTGGTAGCAAATTGGGAGCCAGTGGAGCTAGTGCAAGAGTGGATTTGTGTGCTCCCTGAGCGCTTCTCCTATTAGTAGCCTGGCTGACACCCGCTGGACCATTGGAAGCTTCTGAACAGTTTTCAAAGGCAACCTCACGCAGAGCATGTTGCAGTATTCTATATGGGATGTAACCAGAGCGTGGACTCCTGTGGCCAAGTCAGACTTCCCAAGGTACCATATCTTGGGGTACCATAGGGAAGGATTAACCCTCCTGGAGCCTTATGTTTTGCTGTCTGTGCCCGTTTTGGAGATTTCACCTCACTGTCTCTGTGAGAATAGGATTTTTCAGAATGTGGCTTGTTGTAGAAAGGACTGGCAATAGAGCTTCAGTGGAGACTCCGGGGCTTTCCACACAGCCCTATATGCCAGAATATCAAGGCATAAAATCCCACATTACCTGAGTGAGGACTCAGATAACCCATTTCAAAGCAGATATTGAGGGATTTGCTGCCTTGATATTCTGGGATATAGGGCTGTGTAGAAGGGCCCCTAGATGATAACTCTTCCAGGAGTGGATTTCCCTTCCTTCCGAGGGGGTAGATTTCTCTCCCTTCCTATTGTCTCACCCCCGTTCTTAATTAGGAGTCGTGTGTAAGTTGGGTGTTTGTAACTTGGGACTGCCATAGCGCCCTTCCACACAGCCCTATATCGAACAATATCAAGGCAGAAAATCCCACATTATCTGCTTTGAACTGGAATATATGGCAATGTGGACTCAGATAACCCAGTTCAAAGCAGATGTGGGATTTTCTGCCTTGATATTCTAGGACAGGGATCCTCAAACTAAGGTCCGGGGGCTGGATGCAGCCCTCCAAGGTCATTTACCCGGCCCTCGCTCAGGGTCAGCCTAAGTCTGAAACGACTTGAAAGCACACAACCCTATCTCATCAGCCAAAAGCAGGCCCACACTTCCCATTCAAATACTAATAACTTTATATTTGTTAAAATTGTTCTACATTTTAATTATTGTATTGTTTAAAGTGTTTTTTGCACCGTAATTAAGATACATGCAGTGTGCATAGGAATTCATTCATGGTTTTTTTCAAATTATAATCCGGCCCTCCAGTAGTTTGAAAGACTGTGACCTGGCCCTCTGTTTAAAAAGTTTGAGAACCCCTGTTCTAGGATATAGGGCTGTGTGGAAGGGCCCTTAGAACAGAAGATCTAGCTGAGCCTTCTTCCTCCTCTGCGTGTTCCATTCTGCCCAAGACCAGAAGCCCGCCCATTCCTCACCCCTCTTGCCACGCCTTTCACTCAGGGACATTTTCAGCTGTCGCCCTTTCGTCAAACCACCTCTCCGCCTTCCTTGTTATTCTGTTTGCTTATACCCAGAGCTTTTTCTCTCCACAAGGAGACTCGGGGCCCTTCCAGACAGCCATAGAACCCAGAATATCAAGGCTGAAAATGACACAAGGTATGCTTGGAACTGCGTTGTCTGACTCCACACTGCCATATCTCCCAGTTCCAAGCCGATAATATGGGCTTTTCTTCGGCTGTGTGAAAGGGCCCCCTGTTCCACGTGGATTTCAATACAGCCGTGCGGAAGGGCCCTCTGAGGAATCTGCCGAAGCGGGCGAAAAGGGGGCGTGGCTTCTTCCTCAAAGGAGAAGAAGGGACTTCCGGTGCCTCCTTCCGAGCAAGCGGAAGCGAGCCCTTCGCCATTTTGTTGCGGGCAAATGGCAAGGCGGAGGGGGCGGGCGGCGAGTCGGCGGGCGGGCGGGAGCGCGTGAGGAGGAGAGGCGCGGAAGGGGGCGAGCGCGCGGGCCTTGCAGCGCGAAGGACCTTTGGGGCCATGTACGTGGGGCGGGCGGGCAGCGGGGCCGAGGGCGGTCCGGCGCCGCGGACCATCTTGTCGGCCGGCGGCGTCGGGGCGCTTCCTCCCTCCGCCTCGGCTCCGAGCGGCAACGGGAGCGGCAACGGCGGGAGCGGCGCGCGCGCGGAGCTGCTGGTCTTCGGCTACGCCTGCAAGCTGTTCCGGGACGACGAGAAGGCGCTGGCGCAGGAGCAAGGCCGCCATCTCATCCCATGGATGGGAGACGCTTCGATCATGATCGATAGGTCGGTGCAAGCCAACTCCCCGCCCGCCTGCCTCGCGCTTCTGTTTGAGATTGTGTGTCTTTGCCCCGCTCCCTCCAAGGGCTGGGCTGGGCTGGGCGGCGGGAAGGGCGCCGAATGAAGGGCCTTCTGCCAAGCAGGGCCTGGGAGGCCTTTGGGGCCATGGCGTGGGGAAAGCCTCCGCCTTCCAGCCGCTTTGGACGTCAACTCAACTGGAATTGGAGTCCCATACATCTGGAGGGAGGGAGGGCCCAAGTTGGCCCAGGCCTGCTCTGTGAGCCATTCATTGAAAAACTAGAGCCAAAGGTGCTGCAGGATGTCCCGCAAAAACAAACCACAATTGCAGTTTAATACACAGTTTCCATGGTTTTTAAATGACAGAACCAATGAGGAAATGATATTTATCACCCCACAACAAAAATCGTGTTACTTTCGGCCCTGCCACACAGCCATATAGCCCAGAATATCAAGGCAGAAAATCCCACAATATCTGCTTTGAAGTGGGTTATCCAAATCCACAATACCATATATTCCAGTTCAAAGCAGATAATGGACCTCATCACACTAGAGCAGTGGTTCTCAACCTGTGGGTCCCCAGATGTTTTGGCCTTCAACTCCCAGAAATCCTAACAGCTGGTAAACTGGCTGGGATTTCTAGGAGTTGTGGGCCAAAACACCTGGGGACCCACAGGTTGAGAACCATTTCACTTAGAAAATGAATCCACTTTGAATCTGGTTTCTGCCTCCTGCCTTTAACAGCCTCACAAAACTACAAATGCCAGAATTCTGCATGAGTCAGAAACCAGATTTAAAGTGGATTCATTCTCTAGTGTGATTAACTAGTATGTAGGATTTTATCCAGTTGTGTGGAAGAGGCGATAGTGTAATGTGAGAAAGTCAGCCCAGCGGGTTATCTGGTCCAGATTTGTGTGCTTAAAACAGCCAGCTATTTCTCTGTGTGCATCTACACCAGTCATTCTCAATCTGAGAGTCCCTAGATGTTTTGGCCTACAACTCCAAGAAATCCCATCCAGTTTACCAGCTCTTAGGATTTCTCAGAGTTGAAAGCCAAAAAATCTGGGGACCCACAGGTTGAGATCCACTGTACTACACCAAACACTCTCAAACTGTTTGGGCCTCCAACTCCCAAAACCCTCTCCAACTGGTTCAATTGTCAGGAATTCTATGAGTTGGGGGTTCAAACAGCTGGGTTGAGGAGGCATGGTTCTACACCAGGCATGGGCCAACCACTTAATCGGCTGAGGGGGAAAGGAAGGGGGCTGAGGCTGTTAGGAATTGTAGGGGTTGAAGTCCAAAACACCTGGAGAGAGAGTTGAAAAACACTGTTCCACACCTGTTCTATGCTGTGGAACAGTGTTTTTCAACTCTCTCTCCAGGTGTTTTGGATTTCAGCTCCCAGAAATCCCAACCAGCTTCCAACTGTTAGGAATTGTGGGAGCTGAAGTCCAAAACATCTGGAGGAGCACAGTTTGAGAAACACAGCTATAGAATGAATGCTGTTGAACACCACTTCAACTGCCCTGGCTCAATGCTATGGGATTTGTAGTTTGGGGAGGCACCTGCACACTTTGGCATAGATGGCATCATCAGAACATTTCATGACACCACAACTCCTGTGATTCTGCAGCATTCAGCCCATGACAGTTAAAGTGGTGTCGATCTGCATTCATTCTCCTGTATAGATGCCAACAAGAAGGCCATAGTGACAGCACCATACTATTCTCAGCTTCCCCAAACTGTAGAGAAGGCTGTAGTGCTATGTATTTTTACCTTGGAAGGATGTGCTTCCTTACATATACCAGCACTTTTTCCAAGTAAACAAGCACTGAATTAGGCAAATTAGCATACTGTAAGTGCTTCCTGGTCTGTGGCGTTTTTTGGCCCCATGAAAATAGGCAGCTTTGGCGTGAATGCGGGATCTTCTGTTCTCTCACTTGGCTAGGGTCCCTTCCACACAGCTGAATAAAATCCTACATTTTCTGCTTTGAACTGGAATGTATGGCAGTGTGGACTCAGATAACTCAGTTCAAAGCAGATATTGTGGAATTTTCTGCCTTGATATTCTAGATTAAAGTAGAGTCACTTATCCAACATAAATGGACTAGCAGAACTTTGGATAAGCAGAAATGTTGCTTAATAAGGAGGGATTAAGGAAAGCCTATTAAACATCAAATTATGTTATAATTTTACAAATTAAGCACCAAAATATCAGGTTTTAGAAGAAATCGACAGAAAAAGCAGTTAATTACACTGTAACATTATATGGTAATTACTGTATTTACAAATTTAGGACCAAAACGTTGCAATGTATTTAAACATCTATGGATCCGGGTGGGAGGCAGAATGCGTTGGATAATACAGAAAGTTGGATGCGCTAAGGTTGGATAAGCGAGACTACTGTATATGCCTGTGTGGAAGGGCACTAGGTTGCCAAAACAGTACATACCTATATCTAGCATCAACCTTAAAGGATAACAGTTTATATGGTTGTGGGTTTGAATCCTTTGACATTTTACCTCTATGAGAGGGCAAGTGACTATGTGTAGAGAAATAAAGTATGACCCTTGTATCTGGGGGCAGGATTAGCATTTTCATTTACCCATATCTGACAAAATAAGTCCTATCTCGACAGTGAGAGGCGTCTAGTGAATCTTAACCAGGGAGAAAGATGGGAGTTTCAATCAAATAAATACATAAATTTCAAATTATTGAAAATGGTTCAATGAGCATATGAAACCACTACAGTACATATTATACTTTAACATTCATCATTTGAAAATCACTTAGATAGGCCAGCCAGCAGAAATTGTTCTTTCCTGCTGTTTTCAACTCAGATGGCATATCCAGCTAATCATCCTCGTTCTACAATCTTTACGCAGTTATAATGACATGTAGTCACACTACATCGATAATGTTCTACTGGACTCCTCATTTTATTTGCTCTAACAGACTGACATGGCTACCTCTCTGTAATTGGTTTTGATGATGATAACAGGTGAGCCATCACAGAAAATTTTGGAAATGGCCCAGAAGGGCAACTGCTTCATTCCTGTGTCTTTATGTAAAGACACAGGAATGCAGCTAGCAAAAAATTGGCAGCTTTTGATGATGATGAATATCCGAAGCTTCTTTCTAGATGGCTTGGCCTCAGGCCCCTGGCCCCATTGTGCTCCCTCCCCGCTGGCAGAAGGTTACTGGGATATTAGGCCCCTCCCCTTTGTAGGAGTGGGGTTTATGTGTGTTGGGGACTGGAGTAATCTCCTTTTCAAACCAAATGTCATAATGGCTCCTCTTAAGAACTGAAGGATGACTAATGTTTTCTATATACACACACATTCATATACATTAACCCCTGAGGAAGAAGAAAATTTATTGGCTTTTCCTTTGCAGTCCAGATGGGCTTAAAATTAGGTTGGCTTGGCCTGCAACTTCCATTATGAATTGTTTTGAGAGTAATTTTCTGTAGTAGTTCTCCAGAATTTTACATCTTTCAATCTGTTCAAATGACAGGTTGATGGATTGTGTAGTGAAGCCATGTATTGTTGCACTGCAGTAGACACATCCTTGTTATTTTACAGGTTTTCCTCAACTATAATATTTCATTTGACATGTTTCAAGGATATCTTTGTAATCAGGCTTTAAGGGCTCTCGGTATTCTTCATGGTGAATACAGACCATAATCAGAGATTCCTTGCAGCCTAAAGTTCAAAATATGTGGTGGAGGCTCCTTCTTTGGAAGCTTTTAAACAGAGGCTGGATGGCCATCTGTCGGGGGTGCTTTGAATGCAATATTTCTGCTTCTTGCCAGTGGGTTGGACTGGATGGCCCATGAGGTCTCTTCCAACTCTATCATTCTATGATACTTTACCATGCTTGTATTATTCCTAGTACATTTAGGACCGATGTGTATAACAGGGAATCCTTAGCCACCTGCTACTGATGGTTCTGCTAAAGTAATAAATTTTTACTTCGTATATCTACCCATCTGTTCATCATAAAATCAGAATCTTGTAGTGATTTGTGACTTCCTGGAACCTGCCCTTTTCACAATTTTCACGGTATTTTAGGTAATATGTTCCTTAGGTCTAGGTCAAAGGTGTCCAACATTTGGTCCACCATGTGTTTGGGAGTCTCAACTCCCAGAAGCCCCAACCAACTTGTCCAATGGTCTGGAATTCTGGGAACTGAACTTCAAAACACCTGAAAGGCCACAAGTTTGACATCACTGGTGTAGGTAGTTCTATATTTTAAACAAAAAACCCTTTCCTTTGTTTGTGTAATTGTTTGCTCTTGTGATTCGTTTAGCTGACACTGTGATAACCCCAAAGACCCAAACTTCCCTGAGGGATGGATAGTGTTTACTGACGGCTATGTTGTTTGCTAATGGTTAGGTAGGGATTTTCTTAGAGGCAGTGAGGCTGAAATGATACTATTTCAAATAGTGATTAAGTCTTTAAAGCACTCAGTGCAAGCAGAGTCTAAAGGGCTTTGGTTTGAAAAGGGGTATGTGATATATTGTAAGAGTTTGCTCCTTCCATTGTTGCCTTACCTAAGCCATGTAAGTCGATAGGATTCCAGGCTCCAAATTGACAACTATTTTTGTATTGAAATAAATGTGCATGAAATGATAACACTCTTGAGACTGGACAAAGCATAAGGTATTTTATTTTTTAGTAGTACCTTAAAATGAATGTCCTTTAACAGTTATTTTTATACAGAAAAGTGCTACTGATGCCAAGTGGTAAAGGTCTTTCTGGATACGTGGTCAAATGAGTTGTTTTTAGTTTCAGGGTTAATAGAGAACTAGCGTGGTGTAGTGGTTTGAGCACTGGACTATGACTCTTTCCAAATCCCTGCTCAGCCATGGTAAAGCCACTGGGTGATTTTGGGCAAGTCACACACTCTCAGCCCTCTCAAAACAAATGTTGCCAAGGAAAGCCTGTGATAGGCTGCCATAAGTCAGAAATGACTTGAAGGCACACAACAAGAATTAATGCTAAATTGATTGGAGAACTTGAGGCTAACCAGATTGAGTAACAGTTGAACTGTAAGTGTCTTATATTTTTCTCCAGTGCATCATTTTGTTGTCCAACAAAAAGCTAACCCAATTTTTCAGTCTTTATGGTGCCACAATACCATTTTATGTTTTTCTGTAAATGATGAGATTGGGGCAGGGGTGTCTGAAAGGGAAGTTTACAGACTGCAATGAATCTGGTGCAAAAATGGTGTGAGCAAATTCTACATATATCTATGATCTTTAAACAATCTACATATGTAAATTAAGGAGGTTTAAGAGATATACGCCAAACACAATACAGAACTGATCATACAGGTGGAGGCGACTGGTACCTCATTTTCCAGCCCTGTACTAATCTCTGTCTTTAGACTGATAAATATTTACCCTGAATAATTTTGTCTTCTGGAGGAGTGAAATTGGCATTGTTTGTTCAATGCCAGTAAAATACGTTTTGATTAGCAGGGTTGCCCTCGGAGTAACAATTTTTAGTTACGTTAGTATTGATCCAACAAGCCTTTCATTCATACTTCATATGCAGGGTCCTTCCCAGAGTGATAGAATTTACTGTTGCCATTGTGCCAGCACACTTTTTCTTGGTCACAAAAAAAGGATGGAACTATTGACCTTGTTCATTAAATCTAACTGGGTTTGCACAAATAATGCATCAAAATCCAATTCGTATATGTATGGCACTCTTAACTTTAAAGAACTATGTTTTTGTGAGGGAGATTTTAAGAGAGATTCTAATCTGCCAAAGGTGAATAAGTTAACAGTTGCTTACCAACTGCAAATAAATTACATATTTGTGAGGGAGCATATTCATCTCAACATTCTTGTTGCAACTTCTGTAGAGAACCTCCTTAAATTGCACATATATTACTGTACCTATACATGTTTGTCTCTCTATCACATAACCCAGCACTTCTTTCCTCAGCCACATGGCTAGGGGCCGAGCCTAGCCATCATTTTACCTCCAATGGATGCAAGTTTCTTTGGTGAAGATTTCTCCTGAGAGTTCAAGACTAGCAGAAAGAAGCGAGGAAATTGCGACCGTTTGGTTCTTACGGATAGGTATTTATGTATTTGGGTTTGTGTAAATGTAAGCTATTTGCCTTTGCAAAAAAAGTATTTTGGCAATGGTGTTGAATGGTTGAACCATAGACGGTAAGAGCTATAAAGGAATTGGTTCCTCTTTAACTATTAAGATATTTTTGCCTTTAACTGTAATAGTCTTTAAGGGGAAATTGAGGCTTCTCTTTAAAAGGAGGTGGGTGAGACATAATTAGTCAGACTGATTTACCCTTAATTTAACATATGAAACCATATTATCCTATTGTATGTGGTAAGTATTTCTGTAATGGCAGAAATTAAAGCCCAAAGTTCTTTTCATTGACCATCTTTTTCATGTTGCAGGTATGATGGGCGTGGTCACCTGCATGACCTTTCTGAATATGATGCTGAATATTCCACATGGAACAGAGATTACCAATTATCTGAAGAGGAGGCTAGAATAGAATCCCTCTGTGATGAAGAGAGGTATTTAGCCTTGCGTACAGACTTGCTTGAGGAGGAGGCAAGGCAAGGTATTGCTCAAGGACAACTTCCTGAGTTAGAACATTTTTAATTGCAAATTTAAAATCACGTTTAAATTAAAAAATGTTTCCACTCATTTTATACTTACTCTTTCTGATATTATTTTGACAGTACCCAGTGGATTCGAAAAACAAGCGTCTTTGCGTATCTGAGAGGACCTCAGGATAGTTTATATGTAGAGCCACACAGAAATTGCCCAAGTTTTGAGGGCAGGCTGAGAATTGAGACACTTTTAACTGTTCTTCTTTAACAGTATTGTATCAATGAAAACTTCACGTTTTATTCTATGTTATAAGCAGAAATGACTCTTAAGACATCTTGGCAGGAGAAAAATGATCACCCATACTGATTATCTTTTCTGCCCCCTTGGACTGGCAAAAGTCTCAATGCTTACAGATGTCCACCCACAGGGTGAATTTACTGTAATATTTGTGCTTGAATGTTAGGTACACACCATAATATATTTCAAAGAAACCTGTAATTAAACCCATTTCCTTTCTTAATTGAATTTTACCTTTCTATTGAAGAGGAAGAATATAAGAGGCTGAGTGAAGCTTTGGCAGAAGATGATACCTATAATGCAGTGGGGTTCACGTATAGCAGTGATTATTATGATCCTTCAGAACCCACTGAGGAAGAAGAGCAGCCTTCAAGAGGAAAAGGTAAAGATTCTGTGGAATAACTGAAAGTAAAAGTGTTTCTTCTGAGAAAGTCCTTTCCTGCTTAAAATGCAAACTATAATTGGAGGTCTGGGAAAAGTAGACTTTACACATCTGCGATCTTCTAATGTCACTTTTAAAAAGCAGCGAACCTGTCATCTAGTCCCATAAGGCAAATAACTCCTGCATTGTTTTCTGTATTATCTTTTACTAGTTTTGTAGATGGTAGGAATGCTGTGAATGTCATTTTTCTTTATTTCACAAATCATGATAGTTTGACTAGCAAATTGACTATATATGGAAGTGCTAGAAACATCATCAGATCAATCTGTAATTTGTTGTAAAACTATACTGAAAGACTCATCAATGGCTGCATTTAAATTGGAAGGGGGGCTTAAGAGGAGTGTGCAGGGTTGTGTGCAGGTGCCAACACTCTTCAATATTTTCCTCGTCGTGTCATCTGTGAAATGCGCACCTATGGGTTTTCCTGTGCGCCTGCGCAGCAATCCGGAACATTCTATCAAATTAAATCAATTTTTTAATGATTATTTTAAGAATATATGTAAGCCCCGCCCATCCCCCCCCCCCCAGTATATATGCCGCCAAATGCGGCTTGGCCGGTAGTTCCTTTTTCCGCGCTAAACTTGCAGCATCTACGAACTTCTTCTCTGACTTATTTGACCTATTGGATTGTTCTTCCTCGATTGTCTACCTTCTCCACTCCGACCACGGACCGGCTGACGACTCTTTTCAGGCTAGAATATCTTCCCTTTATTTTATTTTAAAAAAAAAAGAAAGAAAGAAAAGAAAGAAACTGCTCAGCCTGTGGAGCTAATCTCCCGAAGGCTGATAGGCATACTAAATGCCTCCTTTGTTTGGGAGAGACTCAAAATTTGGGAGAGACTCTGCTAAAGCCCTCCTGTATGAATGTGCTTTGCCGCTGCAAACGGCTGCCTTCCTCACCCAGTCCTCCCCTTTTGCAATATGGCCAGTGCATATTTACATTCGCGTGTATGTGACCAGGTTGGTTTTATTTTTATTTTGTTTGCAAAACCCACATGCTGGGGATAGGCGTGACTCAACTACGGCAAGTGCTTCCCTAGCAGAGCCAGCTGCTGGAAGAAAGAAAGAGAGAGAGAGAGAAACAAACCCTCAAACAAACCATGAGGTGTGCTAAATCAAAGGAAAAAGCAAATAAATCAAAAAAGGGATGGCAACTCACTGGCACTCAGCCCTTGAGTCCCCCTGCACTGGAACCGTGAGGTGTGCTAAATCAAAGGAAAAAGCAAATAAATCAAAAAAGGTATGGCAACTCACTGGCACTCAGCCCTTGAGTCCCCCTGCACTGGAACCGATGCCCCAGCTTCCCGGTTCCATGCTCCAGTTACAGGAGCCTCCCCCAACTATCCTCCAAATGGAGGATCCCTCCCCCCTCCTCCCCCTTGAACTCTTGGCTCCTCATCTTGAGCTAGAAACTCAACCTACAGCCGATCCCTCCATTTCCCCCCCTCCCCTTCCTGCCTCTCAGCCCTCCCCACCCAGCGCCTTTCCGCAGACTTGCCAGACGTCGCCCTGTACCCGCGGAGTACTCTCCCTCGCATCCAATCCTATTTCATCAAGCACAGCACCTCTGTGGTCCGCATACCGCTTATTGCTCATCGCCTCTGCCTTTGCCTAAACCATCCTCATAGGATCGAAAGAGTTGGAAGGGACGCCCATCATGGGCCATCCTCATCTCAACCCGCTGCTGCAGAGAGGCAGGATATTACATTTACGAATTATGTAATGATTAACATTCAAATTCGACTCGCCCTGACAGATGGCCATCCAGCCTCTGTTTAAAACTTCCCCCATCCCTCCTCCCAAGAGGGCTCATTCTCTCTCCCCTGATCACTATATATCACAACAAAGGCTTCAATGCTCATCCACCGGATAAATACCCACAGCCCCCACATGCACCTCCTACTGCCACACTCTCTCATCCTCCAGAAGAACAAACTGAACCAGAACCTCAGCCATTTATTCAGGATCCCCTCCCAGACCCTGACCCCTCTCCGCAACAGTTAAGAGGATTTCATAAATTCTCGGCCCTCCTAATAAGACTTGCCAGAGCCCTCAACCTTTCTGCACTAGAACCATCAGATACAATTGCAGACCCATGTCTCTCCTCTGTTGAGCAACAAACCCCCCACCTTGCCCTATCTTCTCAAAATGTTTAAAAATACAGGAGCTGCTGTGCCTATGGTTCCAGCAACTCCTAAAGGAACAATAATAATAATAATAATGAAATAAAAATTAAATAATAAAAAAAATTTTTTTTATTGTATTGATCTCTCTTCAGCTTCATGGCTATCTAAGATGCCCAAGCAAACTCTATACTAACTGATGCTCAACCAAAGCCTATACAGAAAAACCAGACTTTCCCTTCTAATAAAGAAAAAAGAAAATAAAAATAAAAAATAGCACTCCATGGCAAATAAACAAATAAATAAAAATATTTATTCCTCAACATGCCTTTTTGCATACATAGCCCATTATAGAGCCTATATGAGTGTCTATAAACTTTTCTATGAAACAAAACCTCTCCTTATCTAGACTTACTATCTCCATCTGAACAACCTTTGGCTAAAGCCTTTAACAGGAAGCTCTCCTGTTATCTGGCCTTCAAAAGACCTTGCAAAGCACACAGCTGACACCTCAGTCAAACTCATAGCAGGCTCAATGGCCCTTCGTCGCCATGCCTGGTTTCGAGCTGCTATTTTTTCCCTATCTCAATACACACTTATTGGAGACTTCCCAATGGATGAAGCAGGACTCTTTAATCCTGAAACTGACTCACAACTACAACACTAACACAAGATGAAACAAATAGTCTACAAGTATGACCAGCAGCCATACACCTACCAACGCCAACGCTGGGGCTCTTATTATTACCGTCCCCAATACTACAACAGACCTTTCAACACTTCCTTCTATAGAGGATGGCAAACACCATATGCCCCCTCTACAACTTTGACACGACCCCTTCTTCCCTCCAGAGGTCAGTACCGTGGTATCAGACCCACTAACAACAATAAACATCATTTTTACTATAACGTTAACCACCCCCCTTCCCCACTCCAACTCAACCACTTACATATTTAGACAGACTACATTACTTCCTACCGGCTTGACAGACTATTACTACAGACACCTGGGTCCTGGACATAATTGACAGGGGATATGCTATACAATTTGATACCTACACCCCTGTAGGAAACATCTTCCTCACCCAACCTTTCCATACCATCTGGAAAGAAATTAACTCTCTACTTCACAAAGGAGCTATTTTCCCCATACCATCACATGAAGCCACCTCTTGTTTCTTCTCTCGCTACTTTCTAGTAGACAAAAGAGATGGAGGACTACGTCCCGTTTTCGACCTTGGGAAACACCACGTAAATTCCGCATGGTCACTTCCCAACATACTCCCCTTCAATCCAGAGGAGTCTTGCCTAGCAACGGTGCATTTCAAGGATGCTTACTTTCGCATCACAAATAGACAATCACACTTCAGATTCCTAACTTTTACAGTTCAACATAACAATTTTCCATTCAATTCTCTTCCATTTCGCTTATCACAAGGACCTTGGCCTGGTCATAAACCAAGAAAAATCTCTTCTCTGCCCAACACAACACATCCAATTCATACGAGCTGTCATAGACTCCAGGATGCAGAGAGCCTTCCCCCCAGAAGACTGCCTCTCCAACCTACAATGAGCCATCTTCAACCTCTTACGCTCCCAAGCTCCTACGCTTGGGCCATCCAGTCTATCCTTGGTCACATGTCTTTTACTACCAACGTCACTCCATACACCCCTTTTTGGATGAGGTCCCAAAACATTTGATCCTCTCCGCGACCCCCAGTCCCGGGTCCTACACTCCCCACACAGTGTCCTCCAGTCCCTATCATGGTGGACAAAAGAATACAATGTTCAATCGGGGATGCCATTCATCCAACCCCGTCCTTCTATGTCCCTCACAACAGACGCTTCCAACTCAGGCTTCCAACTCACTCAAGGACTTCAAAGTCAGTGTCCATTGGTCCCCTCAGGACCGCCATTTTCCACATCAATACCCTCGAGCTGATGGCGGTGGAGAAGCTCTTCATGCTTTCACCCGCATTATATCCAACCGCATGGTCCAAATTGTAACCGACAACACTGTGGTCAAATATTATATCAACAAACAAGAGGGAACACGCTCACAAACACTACTCTGCATTTCGACACGCTTAGGAGAATGGTGCATTCAGAGAAATGTCCTTCTCACGGCCATTCACCTCCCAGGACAGGACAATACACAACCAGACTCCCTGAGCAGATCATCCAAAAACAATCACGAGTGGCACCTCCACCCCAAACAATTCAAACCATCACACTCAATGGAGCAAACCCAAAATAGATCTCTTTACATCACCACTGCCCTTTTACTGCACAAGACTCCGCCCCCATGCACCCCCAGGCTGCCTCGGAGACATCTTCCTATTCCACTGGACTCCAGGTCTACTCTACCTCCCCCCCCCCTCCTACCCCCAATCATAACCAAAATAATCCAGGACAACTCGGATTGCATGCTAATCACCCCTTGGTGGCCCCGGCAACACTGGTTTGCACCACTCCTCCAAATCTCCAACAGGGAGTTTCTCCACTTCAAACCAACTCCGGACCTTCTCACTGTAGAGAACGGACTGGTACTTCACCCAGACCTCCAATCCCTCCGCCTGACGGCGTGGATGATTAGACCGCGTTAAACCAATCCGAGGAAGTATCACGTATACTCCTCGCTGCCCACAAACTAGCAACCAAAAAGTCCTATAACTATAAATGGTCCCTCTTCAAGCCATTCACAGAAACAGCTGGGCATGACCCAAATACAGGCCCAATACCCATGATATTAGATTTTCTAGTCCACCTCTGATAAGTGCTCCTCACTCTCCTCTCTAAAATGTTACCTATCAGCCATCTCATCGTTTAGAAGGAAATTGGGTTTACCGTCCCTTTTTCAAAACCACTTAATTCAATTGTTTCTCAAAGGTTATAAAAACATCCACCCTCCTACCTCCTTTCCCTCCCCCCAGTGGAGTCTGTAATTAAGTTTGTCACAACTATCAAAACCACCTTTTGAACCCATGGCCTCCAATCACATTCTCACCTTTCGTGGAAGATGGCATTCCTGGTGGCCGTCACTTCCACCAGAAGGGTTAGCGAGCTTACAGCCTCCGGTCTGACCCACCTTATATTAGGTTTCACGAGGACAAAGTTGTTCTCCGTACCGATGTTACCTTTCTCCCGAAAGTAGTCTCCTTTTTTCATATGTCACAAGACATAACTCTCCCAGCCTTTTTTCTTAACCCATCATTTCCCCTAGAAACTGCCCTTCACGCCTTAGATGTCAAAAGAGCTCTCTCCTTTTATTTCCATAGGACATCTACATATAGAAAATCCCCTAAGCTCTTTTTAAAATACAGGAAAGACAAATTAGGCTACCCTGTTACCCCTCAGGGGTCAGCCCCTTGGAGTGTCTCAACATTCCGCCTAACCTACCAATTGACAGGCAAAGATCCACCTACTCACCTGGTGGCCCATTCAGCTTACTCTGTGTCCACCTCCCAGGCTTTTTGGCGATGAGTGTCTCGTGAACAGATCTGCAAAGCAGCTACCTGGTCTACACCATCTATTTTTCCTTCTCACTACAAGTTGGACGTACAAGCGAAAAAGGACGCCGCCTTTGGCAGAGCTGTTCTCTTTTCCTGTGTGGCATGACCCGCCTCCAGGCCAGTAGCTTGCTAAGTCACCCATAGGTGCGCATTTCACAGATGACACGACGAGGAAATATAGGTTGCTTACCTGTAACCGTATTTCTTCGAGTGTCAATCTGTGAAATTCGCACAACCCGCCCGTCCTGCCCACTTGTCATGCCTCTAACCTGGCTGCTGTTTAGCGCCGGGGAACTACCGGCCAAGCCGCATTTGGCGGCATATATACTGGGGGGGGGCGGGGGATGGGCGGGGCTTACATATATTCTTAAAATAATCATTAAAAATTGATTTAATTTGATAGAATGTTCCGGATTGCTGCGCAGGCGCACAGGAAAACCCATAGGTGCGAATTTCACAGATTGACACTCGAAGAAATACGGTTACAGGTAAGCAACCTATATTTATTAATGATTTAGGCCTCGTGATCACATGTAAGGCCAGTGGGCCGAATCCAGCCTTCCATGTCATTTTATGTGGCCCGCAAGGCTTTCAATGCCAGGGCAACATAATTATATGTTTTGATTAGATAACATAGACTGAAACCATATATGACTTAGATAAAAACCAGCACTTTGAATTGTGCTTGGAAATGTGTTGGCAGCCAGTGGAGCTGTTGCAAGAGAGTTGTTGTACAGTCCCTGTAGCCAGCCCCAGTTAGCAGTCTGGCTGCTGCTCTTTGGACCAAATGACAATTCTGAGCAATTTTCAAAAGCTGCCCCATGTAGAGTGCATTACAGTAGTCCAGCTGGGGGGCATGTAATCAAGGCATACACCACCGTGATCAGATTGAACAGGCGCAGTTGGCACACTAGCTTTAATTGTGCAAAAGCACTCTTGGCCACTGCTGATGTCTGGGTCTCTTACGTTCAGAGCCGAATCCAGGAGTATACCCAAATTGTGAACCTATGTTTTAATGGGGAGTGTGACCCCATCTAACACAGGTTGAATCCCTATTCCCAGATCTGACCTTTGACTGACCAAGAGCACTTCTGTCTTGTCTGGATTAAGCTTCCATTTGTTTGCCCTCATTCAGTTCATTACAGTTGCCAGGCACTGGTTTAGCACAGGGACAACTTCCTTGGAATTAAGTGACAAGGAGTAATGGAGTTGGGTGTCAGTTGCATGTAGATTGCACCACACTTCAAAACTCTGGATGACCTCTCCCAGCAGTTTAATGTATATGTTGAATAGTATGAGGGACAGCAGAGAGCCCTGAGGGTGCCCACAGGCCAGTAGCCAAGTAGTCAAACAGAATTCCCCAGTATCGCCTTCTGAGAACATCCCTCCAGGAAGGAACGGAGCCACTGAAGAACAGTGCCTCCAAAGCCCATCCTAGAAAGGTGACTCAGAAGGATACAGCGGTTGATGGTATTGAAAGCTACTGAAAGATCCAGGATAACTGACAGGAACACACTCCTTTGTCCAGTTCTCTGTGTCGATCACTCACCAAAGCTGTCTCTGTTCCATAACCAGGCTTGAAACGAGTCAGAAATTGATCTAGATAATCTGCTTCATGTAGGAACCCTTGGAGTTGAGAAGCCACAACACTCTTCAATACCTTGCCCCAGAAATGGGAGATTGGAGACTGCTCTGTAATTGTCAAGCAATCTAGGGATTTTTTTTTTTAGAAGAGGTCTTGTCACAGCCTCCTTGAGGCCCGCAGGGTTGGAGCCACTGAAGAACAGTACCTCCAAACCCCATCTTAGAAAGGCAACTCAGAAGGATACCATGATCGATGGTGTCAAAAGCCTCTGAAAGGTCCAGAAGCCCTGATACAAGGAGACATTCATCATTTCTCTGACTCATGCCAGCATTCCCCTTTTGGCTTTTTTGTGAGCCAGGAAAGACAAGGGTTTAAAACACATGTGACTCTCACCTTTCTAATGATTCTGTCCACATCCTTAGGCTGAACAAATTGAAAAGTATACATCAACACTGTACAAGCAGGAACCAAGGTTGCACCCATGAAAACTGTATCATTTGTGACGTCCAAGCGATCTTATCTGAAAAATGTTGGGCAAGCACCTCACAGTGTTAATAAATAAGTTGTTAAATAAAATAAAAATGAGGGGGAGTAGCATAAAAGTACATTGCCAGAAAATTTGATGGTCAAATATTAGGATATTTATGTTACTGTTTATGTACTGTGTTTCAATTATAAAATTAGTTGTGTGTTACAGCTTATCTTCTAATTTATAGTTTCTACAATGAAGATAGAAAATTTGGAAGAAAATGAAGAACCTTTTATTGCTCCTTTGGGTTTGAATGTACCATCTGATGTAGAACTGGTAAGTGTGTGTGTGTGTGAATATATAGTCACCTTCCACATTTGCTGGAGTTAGGGCCACAGGACCCTTGTGAAAGTGAAAAATCACAAATATATAATGTGATAATATTTATTCATGGAAGAACACCAGCATGATTCTATGGTCATTTTCCATATAGAGGTGTTCTCTATAAATCTCTTGGTCCTCCAGCATGAATGGAGGATGTTGACAATAGAGTCACACTGGAGGACCTAGATATTCCAAAAAAGGCTATTTTAAATCCAATTTTTAAATAAAATGTAGAAGGACAAATATATGTTTGTAAACTCAGTTTTCCCTTCGTGGTCAATGTGTTTGAAGTGCAACCCAAATTAACGTTGTGTCCCCCCCCCCTGCAATTTTTTAAAAAACAAAATACTGTTTCAACTAGATACAGAAAATGAGAAAGAAAAAGGAGCTGGAAAGTATAAAAAACTGTAAAAATGAGATTCCTTCTCTCCACCTCCCCTTCTGACTTCATTAATTGAGGTATTTCTGTATTATGGCAATTAGGTTGACTCTGGCCCAGCACTAGCATGCATCTATTTTCATAATAAAGATTGGGCATCCCGTATCCAAAAAAAATTGGACCAGAAGTGTTTTAGAACCTTCATTAGGCATACATAACTCAAAAAAGTAGCATATCCTGTTATGCTTTCATCCTGAATGATGAAATCCCCAAATTTAAGACAAATCCCTTCCAATCTATATTTATCACAATGGGGTGAGGTGGGGATCTTAACTGGTTGAACTGATTTCTGTAAAAATTAAGATGTATACTACTTTTCTCTTTTTGGCATAGCCACCAACAGCTAAAATGCATGCAATCATAGAACGGACTGCAAACTTTGTCTGCAAGCAGGGGGCCCAATTTGAGATTATGCTGAAAGCAAAACAAGCCCGAAACTCTCAGTTTGACTTTCTGCGGTTTGACCACTACCTCAACCCTTACTACAAATTTATTCAGAAAGCTATAAAGGAGGGACGGTATGCTACAGCTGCACAAAAGAAGAAAGATGAGAAAAAAAGTAAGTTACATTTTTCAAAACAATACACAGCAGTTGCAGTCCACATTGTCTGGTAATACATCCAATTCCTCACGCTGGTTGGCCAAATGATTCTGGAAAGTGTTCAATCATATACACAATTAAAATTTAAATTAGCTTATCACCGGTATAGCAAGCCATTACATCTACCCTGCTTTAAAGCAGTCTCTTCCTATACTGGAGAGTCAACATGGTGTAATGATTTGTACATTTGATTATGACTGTACTTTCTGTATTCAAGAGCTAAGTGAAGCATTTATATATGCATATTCCATTGAGCTGTTGTGGGAAATTTGGGCAGAAGTAGAAAATAGTGTTGAAACCTTTTAATTTTGTTTACATACAAGGTAATTTCACTATCTCCTAAAATGCTTGAAGGTATGGTGCAATGTAATAATAACTTTTTTCTACTGTAAAAAGCTGTTTGACCCTTACACAGCCATTCCAAATCATGAATTGAAAAGCTTAAGATATGAAGTCAAGGGATATGTTTGATCTCAGTTGCATAACCTACATGTTTCTTTAGCTATTGATGCATACAAATTATGTATTGAAAAATTCTGAAAACCATACCTTTCCATGCCACTCTGAAACAAATTACAACCATTACATTTTCCCATAGATGTAAATGAAGATGCAGATAAAGATGATGCTGATGAAGATGATGCTGATGGTGATAACTATCTGCATCCAAGCCTATTTGCTTCTAAAAAGCACAATAGACTTGAAGAGCTCATGAAGGTATTTACCCAAGAATTGTATATAGTATTGCATATCATCTTTTTTGTAAGTGAACATCTCAACTGCCGGTATTCAGGAAGCAAGAGGCTCCACAAACATCTTGTAGGATTTTAACTTTTTGCTTGGATTGACAGCACACTGTGTCATCACAAACAGCTACAAATATCACCATTTCTGAAATTTCTAAGTCGCTCACAAACAGGAAACAATCAGGGCCAGCTAACATCTCCCAACAAAGGATTCCCCCAGACAGGAAGCAGCCAGGCTTTGAAGCTGCAAGGCTATTCAGTGCTAATCAAGCTGTCCAATTGCAACATTCACACTTGCCTCAAACAGACAAAAGTTCTTTCTCCCGCCCTTGACAATATTCCACAGATATATAAACCTCACTTGCCTTGTTTCCAATAAACCTCACAACCTCTGAGGATGCCTGCCATAGATGTGGGTGAAACGTCAGTAGAGAATTCTTCTGGAACATGGCCATACAGCCCAGAAAACTCACAGCAACCGAACTTGTCTTTATGAAGCAAATTTCAACATTATTATTATTATTATTATTATTATTTATTTATACCCTGCTTTTTCTCTCCACAAAGCGGCTATGGATTATAGATGTCAATAACAGTTTTTGTCACACAGCTCTGTTATTTCTAGTGTACCCCTATACTAGATCTGGATGTAAATTTGAGGAGCAAATGATGTAAAATAAGGTTTAAATCAATTGTTGACTTTAGGTAGTGAAAGCCACAATTGACCTTGCTGTTTGGGCCTCTGTAGTGGATGACGATTGTACGTAACCATGTTACTTACAATCAGTAATGCTGTAAATATTTAGTAGGATGAGCACCAGTGAAAAAATAGGTTTTTTTCATCAGCTAGATTTAAAGCAAAAAGCATATATAATCAACATGTTGCAATACAGGTCCCTTATCCAGAACCTCAAAAACTTTTAAAAATTGAAACTCTTTGTCTCTAGTGCCCACTTCTTCCTTTGCACTTTTTGCTCCCTCCCTCCCTAGCTCTGAGGGCTACCTTACTAAAAAGGCAGGAAGTGTGCTAAGAGGCGGGGAAGCGTCTGGGACCTCTGCTTTTTACAAGGGCCTTGTGTGAGTTGGGTGGCACATGTAATAAGAGCCTTCCCTTCTTCTCTTTCCTCCATCAAAATTTCTTGACAGTACTGCAGCAAGGTCTTCTTGAGTGAAAATGCAATGGGTACTGAATAATATGATTAACGCCCTTTCCCCTTCATTGACTATGTATATACAAATACAGATATACCAAGCCCCACAAAAATGTGAAATCTGAACACTTGTGGCCCAAGAGAGGATGTTGTTGTTGTTTAAAAAGCAGGAATTTAGGAGGAAGGGACATCTACTCACTCCCTGTTGTTAAAATAAAGCCTCTCCTGGGCTAAAATGGCCAAACTATGCGCCAAAACATAGTAAGAAATTTCTCTATTTGAGAGTGTTTGAAGGCATTTGGGCACAAGAAAAATGATTTTTTAAATAGTGGATGCATTAGCTGAGGTGGCACCCCCCTTGCATTCCACAACTGTCCATGCCTATTCTAAAATGTAAGTAATTGGGATGTGTCACGCAAGATAGGTTGTACAATTTCAAGTGCTGTATTAATGAGGAATAACAGTTTAAGTGTGTAGCTTTTGTCTCTGTCTAGCAACCCTAATGGTTTGAAATTCATTTCCAGGTATATAATTGAAATTGCCCTGCAACCTTTTTAAACATAGACAATAAACTAGGGCTAGTGAATCTGTAATGTAAGAGGAAATCAGAATCTGATGTCTGTGTATGTTTTCTCCTTTCTGCAGCCTTTAAAGGTGGTGGATCCCGATCATCCACTGGCAGTGCTTGTTCGCAAGACACAGGCTGAAAATAATTTGGCTGCCCCTCAATCAGCTGAGGGAGCAGCTGTTCCACCATCTCAAATAGACTATTCTTCAGATTGTAAGTATATTAGAATAAGAGGGTTGAGAATGTAAAAAGATTTTTATTTATAAATGAGACTTGTAAGAAGTACTCTTACAATTTTTAGCAAAAGTGCCACTTCATAGCTTGACTGTATATTTCTTCAGTAGCCCCCCCCCCCCCCAATTCTTTGGATGCAACTCAAAGCCTTGGTAAACAACAGAGAATTTGGCTTATTTATTTGCCACACATTGCTTGAAGTTGTGTATCAAAGGCCCGAGTCATTTTTAATAAAGGAGCATGAGTGCCCAGTGCTCATAAGATCAATCCAGCGCACTCCCTTGGCGTACAAATGACTTTCATTTAGGATCTCTCTCTTCCCCTCTTTCTTTGAGATTCAAAATGAATTGGATATTTAAACTGTATTAAAATACAGAGATCTAGGAGAATTTTAAGAAAACCAGGTTTAATAATGTGATCAATGATAGACAAAATACTGACAATATTTGATGGAATGAAGAGAACATTTCTGAGAGTCATTGAGGCATGAAAGGGTGTAGTTGGATCTGATCTTCTGAGCAGCAATTCCCTCTCACTTGAAATCATGCTGGTTCCATTTCAGTTGATCAGACAGTGTTCAGTTTATGTCATAAGGAAGAGGGAGCCGACCTTGTTTTCTGCTGCCCTGGAGACTAGGACACAATGGAGCCATAGGTTCAAATTACAGGAAAGGAGATTTCCACCTGAATACTAGGAAGAACTTCCTCACTATAAGAGCTGTTCAACAGTGCAACTGGAGCTCCAGGTAGCTCAATGGGTTAAACCCTTGTCGGCAGGACTGCTGACCAAAAGGTCAGTGGGTCGAATCCAGGGCGCAAGGTGAGCTCCCATTTGTCAGCTCCAGCATAGACATGAGGAGCCTCCTACAGAATGGTAAAACATCCTGGCGTCCCCTGGGCAACATCTTTGCAGACGGCCAATTCTCTCACACCAGAAGGTCCATTTCCTCCTAAGAGTTCACTTCCTAAATTTCCTTCCTGTGAAAAGATGGCAAAGAGGCTGCTAGTCTAACTTAATTGTGAATGGAGCCCCAGAGTCTAGAAGCAGCCACAAAGAAGGTCCTCTCCCATGTTCTCACCTGATGTACCTGTGAGAACAGTGGGATAACGAGCAAGGTCTCCCCAGAAGGTTCCAAGAAGATCTCATATATGATCAGGTTAGAGAGTCATTCAAACCAAAGCTTTCTAAACAGTGGGTTGTGACCCCATTTGTAGTTGCATTAACTGAATTAGGGGGCTAAATCATATATTATAGAGCAGGCCTGCACAACTCGGCAAAAGTAAGAGGCCAAAATTAAAATAGGATTAATTGTCCTAGGACTGGAACGGGGGGGGGGGGGGGGGGGGGGTTGCCTTGCTCTGCGCTCTCCACAGCTTGCTCTGAGGCCACCTCCATCCTTGCTTTTCTGTCACATATGTCACTTGTAGCTTGGTGTGCTCATTCCCCGGCACCGCAGAACCAGCCCACACCAACTCCACGCACCCCCAAAGAGCCGCAAGTGAAGTCAAACTAGCCAGCCTGACGTCCTGGCATCTACTGTTTGTCTATAAACTAGCTCCTTCCTTCCTGCATCCAATCTGCAAGGGCTGTTCCTCAACAGTTTATGCAAGTTGCATTTTTGTGGTGCAGAATTTGGACCGACTGCATGCACAATTCTGGAAGTGTATTACAACATGAGCTATTACAAACTTATTCAACTTTCAAGCTTCTCAGTCCTTTTTTCTGGTCCAAAAGAGAATAAATCCACTTCTTAGTACTACCTCTTAATTTTAATTAAGCAAATGTGATTTTAATTTACTTAAAAGGGGATTCCAAACTGAATTGATGCGTGAAGGAAATATGGTTTGGATTCTATTTATGTGTCCTTGCCACCTCATTTACCTAAGTGCTGTTTACATTTGGATTCAGATGTGTCTACCTCATTTCAATTATTTTTTTGACAGAAAGTGATGTTCCAATGGCAATAGTGCATGGAAAGGTGGGCAAAGAGTAGATATCTGTGTTGCTGCGTGTGCTTCCTTTTGAGTGCACAAGGCACTAATCATAAAACTTATTTTTGTAGCAACCGTGGCAGCCATGTATTACAGTTATTACATGTTACCAGATGGAAGCTATTGTCTCGCTCCGCCACCCCCAGGAATTGACATGGCCACTTACTACAGTGCTCTGCCAGCAGGAGTGACTGTGTCTAGCACTACAGGAGTAGCTACAATAACTGCGCCCCCACCTCCTGGCACTATAACACCACAATCCTCCGAGGCAGCTGATGAAAGTCGTGGAGGAATATCTGCCACAACTTCATCAACAAGGTATAATGATTTAAGTATTTGCATTTTTTGTATTGGTTAACAAGATCCACTCCCTGAGTTACAAACATCCTATTTACAAACGACAACAGGAAGTGAGAGAAAGCTCCCCCTCAGAAGGGAAATTCATTCCTGGAAGAGTTATTGTCATGCGAAGTTTTATTACCAATCTTTGTTTCCACAACAAGCCAAACTTTTCAAAATCCAACTATCACAGAGACAGAAAGTGAGGTGAAATCTTGTGAACAGGGGCACAGACAGCAAAACAAACAGCACAGGGGTTTTAACCCTTCCCTATGCTATCCAATGCTAGTTACACTTAAAAAATGCACTTGTTTCGACTTTCAAACATATCTTGTTTGTGACTTGGGGACTACCCGCATACCATAAGTTGTCCAGTCTTAAAGAGACTTAATTTTCTCAAACTATTATCCATTCTCCAGCTGTAGAACAAAAAAAGTAAAATTAATTTAGAACTGTTCACTTTGAGTGGAAGAGAATTCAGAACAATGTGTCATATCTTATGGAGGTCTTTTAATTGTAATTGAAGGTACTCCAGACACTTTGGGAAGTCTTCACACATTTTCCCTATCCTGAGTTTTCAGGATTGACTTGAAATGCATAAATGGGGGGTGGGGGTGGAGTAGGATGCAGATTGAAGTCAGTAAAAATTCTCTCCCATAAAAATCAGTGGGTTCTAGGAGTGTTTTAACTTTAAGTTACGACATCTCACATGAATTTCAGTAGATGCAACTATTTACTCAGAATTCCACCCTCTGTTGGCTGCTATTGGAATTGTACCATGTTTGGATGTAAATGCAAAATATCCAGAAAACAAACCACACCACCTTCTCTGTGATAGCCCTCCTTCATATTAGTCTCCACATGATTCCTTAGAAACTTGCAAACCTTCTGGCACTTAGGCAGCACATATTTGGCTCCCACATTTGTAGAAACTAGCAGCTCTGGGTGAAGGCTGTTACTGTCATTTGAGAGGGTATGTTAACTCCGGTTATTGTGCTTAAATTGAGCATAAATAAACTATGTACAAATATAGTCCCTCAAATGAAGGTGCTGATTCATGGACATGAATATGAATGGAAAGAAACATGGTTCAGTCTTAATACTTATTTGTTTCTTCTCCACAGTGTGCTCTTGAGCTGTTTCAAGCCTGTTGGAAGGCCTAGTCTCAAAACCAGGAGATTCTGTTTTTTAAAAGGCCCTTAGGTCTGAATTGTTGGAGTTCAACCCCACACTGCCCGTCTCAAGTCCTCAATGAGGAATACTTTAGTTAGTTTAGTATAGTCTGAGGGTTTCCCTTCCCCCATCTCTCCTCAATGACAGTTGGGAGTGTATCTATTTCTTCTCTCCTCTCTGTTTCTGCTCTCATTCTGACTGGTTGTTTAAAATGCATACTTTTCTACTGCAAGCTTTTTGAATCTGACTTCTGCCTTATTACACTGCAGTATGGAGAGTATGTGCTGTTTGCTTTGAGATCTCTTTCTGCTTGTGTGTCAGGAGAGATGTAGTGAATGAGTTTCCCCTCTTTGAAACCTTAGATGAGATGGGTATTAGAGTAACTCAGACCGGGTTTTTTACCATTAAGAAATGCAGTTATTTCTTATTATTGTAAATAAACTATTTGTGATTTTTTAAAGACCCTAAGCTCTGAATTCTTTACAGCCACATCACATGACACTTTATGCTTTTCTCGCTAATGAGCTGATGCTCAACTTTTGATTCCTGTTTATGTTTTTGGATATTCTGCTCTATTTTAGGATAGTTTTCCCTAGCATGAATCACACTGGAGAAGAGGGCAAATTTTAATTTAAATTGCCTGTCTCCAGTAGCCCACAAATGACCTTTTCAATTTTAAAAATGATGATGGGTGGAAATTACAGAGTCTCATAGTTATACAGGAAGGTTTAAGGTATCCATCCATCATCTGTTGAAATTCTCAAATCAGAATGGTTCTAAAACGACCTTCCAGTTTAACTCACTCCCTACTGTGTTGCTGTATACTTGAAGCATTTCTGAACTCTGCTACAAATCATAGTGCCAAAATAAAATGCTCGGATCTAGCGATCAGAACTTAATTTTGTCTTGGGTCCAGCAAGCGAGAGCAATATAAACAGCTGTGACTTTTAAAAACACTTTGCTGCTTGGTCATCAGTAGTGATATGAAAAGTGAAGCACTCTTCTGGTTGTGTGTAAATAATATTTCAATGTTTTTTCAGCACAATTCCTCCTGTGGTTGCCATCATCCCCCCACCTCCAGACATCCAACCTGTTATTGACAAGCTAGCTGAATATGTTGCAAGGAATGGGATTAAATTTGAGACAAGTGTTCGTGCCAAGAATGATCCCAGGTAAGTGTGATTTGCATTTTCTCATGATGTCATAGAATTTTGCAACACGGTGAAAGGGAATGGCTTACTTTTCTCATTGGCAGTCTGTTTGGCAAAGAAAGCCATTAACATAATGTTGTAATTTTGATAATTAAAATTCAAGGTACTACTTTATGGTAATGGTAAGGCATTTTGGCATAAGTTACTATATTTATTTCAGAACATTATATTACCTCTCTGTGCCTAAAGTAGTGTCGTTGTAAATTATGGATTTATGTTATAGCTATATTGTTTGGGTCCTGGTTATTTGGACCATATATCTCTGTATGACCCTGTTAGAAGTCAAAGATCATCTGGGTGACAGCTTTCTCCGTCCCACTACCTTTTCAGATGTGTTTGGGAGTTCTCCTGGAGCCTGGAACCCCAAGTTTCGGCAGTGGCCAGGGGAGCTTTCACACAATTAAAACTTGTGTGCCAGCTGCGCCTGTACCTTGAGAAGCCAGATTTGGCCACAGTGGTCCATGCTCTTGTTACATCTCAAATAGATTAGTGCAACACGATCTATGTGGGGTTATCTTTGAAGACTGTTCGGAAGCTTCAAGTAGTCCAATGGGCAGCAGCCAGATTGCTCACCGGAGTGGCGTAGGGGGAGCATACAACCCCCGTTGCGTGGGCTCCACTGGCTGCCAGTTTGCTACTAAGCACAATTCAAAGTGCTGGCTTTAGCTTATAAAAGCCCTAAATGGTTCTGGCCCAGCTCACCTGTCTTAGTGTATCTCAACGCAGATGCTAAGATTGTCTGGGGCAGCCCTGTTCTCGGTCCCACCTCCTTCACAGCCGCTGTTGATGGGGACAAGGGACAGGGCCTTCTCAGAGGTGGCTCGTCGGCTGTGGAACTTCCTTCCCAGTGAAATTAGATTAGAAAGAAACTAAAAACCTGGCTGTGGAACCAAGCATTTGGAGAGTAGCACAGTGCAATAGGCAGCTTTGAAGTGACTGAAATATGATTGGAATGACTCCTTGGGTTACGATTTTGGGTCTTTGTGCTTTTAACAGTTTATTTAATGTATTGATTGTTATGGTTTTATTATTTATTGATTTTAATGTATATTCTATTTGTATGTTTATGTTTATTGTGGCATTGAATTGTTGACAGTTTGGAAGCAGCTCTGAGTCCCCTTCAGGATTGAGATAGAACAATGTAAAAATACAATAAAAATAAATAAATAAATAAATAAACAAACAAACAAGGGAAACAGGGCCTTTTGGGTAGGCTGTTCCTCCCAGACTTTGACGCTCCCTCCCAAGAGAGACTGAGTGGCTTTAATTTACATTGAATTCATATAATTCTTTGGTTTTAATTGTATCTGTTTTGTACTCAATTTTGAACATATTTTATTAAGCCATTTTTACAATGCCTCTTTCCATGCTTTTAATTTTATCATTTTGTACCAGCCCAACATGGCCTGTTTATGTTTCCTAATAATGCATGTGCACACTTCTTTCTATATGTGTGTAAGATGCTATTGCATTGCCTTACAGTTTGTTGACTGTAATAAAGGCATCATTGAATTGAATTGAAGAGAGACCAGGATGGCCCCATCCCTGCTTGCCTTTCCCAAGCAGGTGAAGACATTTCTTTGCCATGAGGAGGCAGGATGAGGGGCACACTGCTGCAGATGTTGTGGGTGGGATTGGGGGAGGAGGGGTTTAGATTTTAAATGTAATTTTAATTGTATTTTAACTTATTTTAACTGTCCATTTTTTGTATACATTTATATGTGTATTTGCCTTGTTTTTAAATTCTATCTTGTTGTGCCATGTTATTGTTAGTCACCTTGAGTCCCTATGGACTCAAGTAAGTAAATAAATTACTGTATTTGCAGTGTTGATGTGTGTGTATTTTTGCACAATTTAATTTTTGTTTTCTTCTCGAAAAGATTTGAGTTTTTGCAGCCCTGGCATCAGTACAATGCCTACTATGAATTTAAGAAACAATTCTTCCTTCAAAAAGAGGACAGTGACAGCTCAAAGGTAGGCTTACAACATTCAGAAACAACAGCGGTGCTTCGTTTAATGATATATTATTTTTATAGTGGCTTGACTTGAACAGCTAAAGCAGAGAAACTAATTCCAGTAAATATACTTATTTTAAAAATGCATTATCTCGCATTATCTTTGCAAATGACAATTTGCTGTAGCTCATAAAATACCATTATTAAAAAGTAATAAAAGTATTACTAATGTAATGTGTCTTATGTGGGACAGCCAAAACTTAACTGTACAAGATGTGGTTATAAGTATATTGACTAGAGTCAGTTTTAGGGAGCATGTTCTCTCCCTTAAAAACTTGCAACAAATTGGAGCCAGGCTAATTAAAATGCTGCCTCCTCCAGTATATTCCTTCCATTGTCCTGCAGTGAACTGAAGAGATCTGACTGAATTTTCTATCACCAACTGATTTATAATTGTTGTGAACAAGGGGAAGGAAAAATCTGTAGTAACATCCACATTGTGAAATTCTCTTTCCTATTTTGGCCCATTTCTTCTGATTTTCCACCACCAAGTTAACAATGTTCATGTCTTTTTAAAGACTAGATTTTGCCTGTGATCTCAGTGGTTTTTAATCTCCTTATGTATTTTGTTCTTACGTGCTTGAGATATAGTTTTCATCATGTAATATAATATTACAGTTATTCAGTTATTCTTCTGTCACTGTCAGTCCCCAATGGGCGCTCTTCTTAATAGATATCGTAAAGGTAAAAGTTTCCCCTTGACATTAAGTCTAGTTGAGTCCAACTCTGAGGGGTGGTACTCATCTCTATTTCTAAGCCGAAGAGCCAGCATTGTCCGTAGATGCATCCTAGGTCATGTGGCCGGCATGACTGCATGGAGCGCCATTACCTTCCCACCAAAGCAATACCTATTGATCTCACATTTGAATGTTTTCGAATTGCTAGGTTGGCAGAAATGGGGCCTAACAGCGAGAGCTCTCCCCAGATTCAAACCACCAACCTTTCAGTCAGCAAGTTCAGCAGCTCAGCAGTTTAACCCACTGCGCCACCAGGGGCTCCCTTAAAAGATATAAGCATTGTATATACATAAACACTTGGACACAAAGCTTAATACATCTAGAGTTCCCTGAGGTGTTCCCATCAGTTGTAATTTTCATACAGCATATAGTACCCCTCCTGATTATAGTGGCAAAAGTGAAGCGCTGTGAATCTACAGTTTCTTGATATATTCTTGTTGCGTTTTGCTTATTATGATATTCTGTGTACAGAACTGGTTGTCTGAAGAGTTTTCAATTAAAATCTACCACTCCCAAGATATTGAAGAGACATGTTGGGGCCTAGGAGACTTTTCTGATGACATTATCCAGTTTTCTTTCATCCAGTTGAAGCTAATAGAAGGAGCAGCTGGTGTATACAAGTGTTATTTGATGGTATAGATGCCCACCAACAGAAAGAGATCCACCAACCTCTTTTTGAACATCCATCTAGGATTAAGACTAACATAAAACAGAGTAAAATAAAATAAAGGAACAAGCAAGAAACAAGTGTGCCATGTTTTGGAACAAAAGTCTTAGATGAGTGCTTACTTAATGGGTCAGATAACGTCTTGAGTAACTTAGCAAGTGCAACTCCGTTCTAGGATGTAGGAGACTGTTAAACCACCTGCCCCATAACAGGAGACATAAGATGATTTAAATTGTCCCTTTATGCTATAATGATAACTTTTAACTTCAGTCTGTGGGGCAACAGGAGGAGAGGCATGCTAATTTCCTCATGTGTTTCAATATTGCTGATGGTTTACTTTTGATATCCGTATACGTGCAGACCATGAGTTAACCAATTTAGAGTAGTAGTTCAGGTTTTTATCAGAGTGAATTCAATTGTTAAAAACATACTTAAGTTGTTCTTATAAATTTTAGAACCAAAAATTTTCTTCGATCCGTTTTGGTGTGACAGAGGTTTGATGAGCATCTTTTAGGAGTGCTTTAGTTGCATATTCTTATGTGACAGTATTTTGGACTACATGGCCTTTGTAATACTTCCAACTCTTAAAATGCTCTGATTCTCTGATTTTAACAGAAACCTAGATCATAGGATACAAAGAGTATTTGAAAAATTCAATAATTCAATTAAAATTGAAGTATTGAGAATTTATTCTGATGTGTATTTTAGAATAACAGAAATGAACATTGGAATAGCAGACAGTGGTATCACAGTGAGAACTCAGTATGGAATTCTTGAACTTTATTCTTAAATTATTGAACTTTATTCTTAAATTATATGTAGGTGGCCAGAAAATGGTTGTGTATGCGCACTCATTCAGTAATGCGCACTCACTGTGGCAATCATCTAGAAGGGCAGGAATCATATTCCTGTCTTATACTCCTCTACAGAAGTGATTGGACTCTATTTTCTGTTGTGGCGCATCAATATTCAGTTTGAGTTTGTCGAAGAATGGTACATGCAGTGCCATTGTGCATTCAGTTGATTTAAAGTTCACTTGTGCAATCTTGCCATTTAGCATAAGTGTTGCACAACGCAATCAGTGTGTGATTTCCCATATGGAGATTTATGCTACATTTCTGCAATGTGTCAGGAGTGGTGTCTAGCCTGTCTCTCAAGTAAAAGCAAAGGATAACTTTATTGGAAAAAGCTGCCAAAGCAAACTACACTACTTTTTGTCAGTACTAAGAGGTTACCCGAAACTACATGACTTTATAAAGGTATTTCAGTTGAAAATTGCACACTACAATGTTCATTGTCTAACATCATGTCTACCATTACATTTGCCCACCTGTGTATTAATTGGTTCTATAGTCAAACATCTCATTGTGGTATTCGCACTGTCTTCTTTGAGAAACCACACCCTAACTCGCATCTTTCATTTGGCTTATACATTGTTATATATCTGGCAACAAGTAAACATACACTGTCTCTATAATAATACTCTGTGTCCCGTGCTACAACAGATATCCCCTCTATTGTGATGTTCATGGCAGGACCACTATGGAGTCCTGACACAATGTAGGATTTCAGGCAAGCTGTTTCTAATTTATAAAGTGGTGGCCAAAAGTACTCAGTGTTGTTCTAGCATAAAGACAGTGAAATAAGATGTATTTGCTCTATATGTGTGTGTGTGTGTGTGTGTGTGAATATGTTAACGGTGGACTACTTAATCTCAGTTAATAACCTTCATGGTGCTGTTAACTTACCATGTCTAGGTAGGTCCACCTATATGAAGTAGGATGTGTACTTAGGGGAAGTTTGTCCTTTTATATACCCTTCCTCCTGTCAGTGAAATTTTCTTCCATCAAAAACACTAAACTGAAGGAAGATAATATCTTTCCCTACAGTAAAGGTTCTGCTTTTATACCCTGCATGTGTGTCTGGGTTCATTTTGCTAGTGAAAAAAAATTAGGTTTATAACCAAAGGAACAATCTCACCATGTTGATGTATATGCATTTTTTAGTTACCTTATATACTCGAGTATAAGCTGACCCGAATATAAGCTGAGGCACCTAATCTTACCACCAAAAAACTGGGAAAATGGGTTGACTCAATTATAAGCCTAGGGTAGGAAATGCAGTAGCTACTGGTAAATTTCAAAATAAAAATAAATACCAATACAATTACATTAATTGAGGCATCAGTAGGTTAAATATTTTTGAATATTTACATACAACTATAATTTAAGATAAGACTGTCCAACTCTGATTAAAACATTATGCTAACCTTCAATGTAAATGTGCTTATTTATTCTTCTAATAACAGTAAAGAGAGTAAAATAATAAATGTAATAATAATAACAACAACAATAACAACAACAGAGTAAAATAATAAATAACCTTGACTCTAGTATAAGCCAAGGCGGACTTTTTTAGCCTAAAAAAGGGCTGAAAAACTAGACTTGTACTCGAGTATATACAATATACAAGATCAGATATGAAGCATAGAATGTCGTACATACTTTTAATTAATTAAAACCCATGTAGAAAAATCTGATTTTTAAAAATTGCCATACCACGATATGAATCCCTTTTGCTGATCTGCAGGACCACAACCACAGTCGCTGACATGTTTAGAAAAAAAGCAGATTATTCTGAATGTCTGGATAGTTCTAGTCATAACCCTGAGGGGGAATCATGTGTGTCAGTGTTCCTGCATATCAGGAACTATTGTGTAAAAAACCTAGTATGCCATGCAGCACATGCTATTCAAATCGTGACATGCTAATATTCCATGACGATGTTGGGCAGTATTTGCTCACATGGCTAGGGATGCACTACATCATGTGCTGCTTCTGTGTCCAGATGGTCTATAAAAAGGCTATACAACTAGGAAGTAGTTTAAATAGCCCTTTAATTAACTTTTTGAAATTGTTTTAAAGGACAAAGCATAAAGGAATGATTCTGGAATTTATGTTGTGTTTTTCGGTGTCTGTTCAAAGCCTGCTTCTTTATAAAACTGTTTTCCTTTGTGGCTTCATTTATATATAAGCATTTACGCCACATGATTTTCCATTGAAAAGTGAGATGCCTCTTTCCTTCTACCCCTCTCCATGCCTTCAAGCATGTTGCATCTTTGTCAGAGGATATCCCAGTGAACACTGCCAGTGATGTACCTGGAGAAACTCAGTTTTCCACTGACCAGACATCTGAAGATATGGAGTCTGTTTCCCAAGGAAGTAAAAAAGATCCAAATATCATCAAACTTGGTAATGATGGCAAACTGGTGAAAGGTATGTCTATGTTGGTGTAGGTTTTAAGACACTTGAAAACCCTACATGTATATGCTTTTTGCTTTAAATATATCTGTAATGTGTAAGAAAGGGGTTTTTGACCCCTTGAACCCATCTGAAGGATGGGATACAGTCTGATTCAAGTAATTTTGTTTTTCAATCATTATGAAGTCAGTTTTCTGTTTAACACTTTGGGGGTTTCAAACACTGGGGTCTAATGTATAATTTATATTGATTTTCCTGGGGGAAGAGGGAAGATTCCTGTAGAAATGTTGGAATGATCAAGCAAAGTGAGCATAACTGTTCTTCCCACATATGCATTATGCATGACTTTGTTGCATATCTTTGGGTAGAGCTGAGAAAACATAAGAAAGACCTTCCCAGTGCAAGAGAGACATTGGAAAAATAACTGTTTTTCCCAATAGTCCTCTGTCTTAGTGTAGCATGATCCAGTGTACCTTGCTGAAATGTAAGTCCTATTTTGTTCACCGAGACTTCCTTGTCTTTGAAGAAGAAAAGGTTCTTCATAACGTGAAGGTAAATAACAGGGTTATTTAACCTCACAATTTTACTGTAATCATTTTGTCCAGTTTTTCCCACTACAGCAAAAAATTACAAGATTGCAAGAGTAATCAGTGTAACAGTTGATGCAGACTGAGAGAGATTGGTTGATTTTTCCATAGATCCAAATTCTCATAAGCACTCATCATTAGCTGAGACTGATGGGAACCATGGTTTTATATCAGCAAGGCCACAGATTGTGCACTCCCGCTATAGAGGCTTGAGATATTGTCACCTCTGTTAATGCACTCTTCTAAAGATTGATTGTTCAGGCACTGCGCGACTGCTAGAGAGGCTGGAGAAGCAGTCATAACTCAAGCTGTTAACCCAGAAGAAGATGCGAAATATCAGTCCTTGTCATCTCTACTTAACAGGTTCTTGGGTAGCAGTGCTGGAAAACATTTCTGTTTCTGAAACTCTAGAGACCATCTACTTCTGAATTAGATGTAGAAATGTTCTGGCTTGATATGATGGGACTATTAGTAGAACACAAACCACACAAGTTAAGAGAGTGATACAGCAGCCAAAAAGGCGAGTGTAATTGTTGGTTGCTTCAGCAAGAGTATACTATCCCGCTGAGAGATGCAGTATCTTGGATCACCTGGACTTTAATAACTGTGAATTTTAACTTCACATTTTATTAGTGTCTAACTTCCTTCTTTAGTCAAGGTGATCAGGAAGGCAGTTGCCTTCCAAATCTTGGGTGACACACACTTCACTGACCCATTTCAAACCAGCTTCAGAGCAGGATGTGGAGTTGAGACTGCTATGGTCACCTTAGCGCAGTGTTTCTCAACCTTCCTAATGCTGCAACTCCTTAATACAGTTCCTCATGTTGTGGTGACCCCTAACCATTAAATTATTTTCATAACTGCAATTTATCTACTGTTATTAATCATAATATCAACATCTGATATGTACGATGTATTTCATTCACTGGACCAAATTTGGCACAAATACCCGATACGCCCAAATGTGAATACTGGTGGGGTTGAGGGGGGGGGGGGGTTGATTTTGTCATTTGGGAGTTGTAGTTGCTGGGATTTATAGTTCACCTACAATCAAAGAGCATTCTGAACTCCACCAACAATGGAATTGAACCAAACTTGGCACACAGAACTCCCATGACCAACAGAAAATACTGGAAGGGTTTGGTGGGCATTGACCTTCAGTGGTAGTTCTCCTATATCCAGAGAGCACTGTGGACTTAAACAATGATGGATCTGGACCAAACTTGGCATGAATACTTAATATAACCAAATGTGAACACTGGTGGACTTTGGGGAAAATAGACCTTGACATTTGAGAGTTGTATTTGCTGGGATTTATAGTTCACCCACCATCAAAACCATACAAATAATTAAAATAAAAAGCTTTCTAAACCCCACCAAGCTTAGAATTGGGCCAAACTTCCCGTATAGAATCCCCATGCTTTCAAGAGACTTGCTGGCGCGAGCCTCCCTCCAACTTCACATTCTCTCCCTCGCCTGCACATGTGCACCATACTGTCATGTGCCAAGCATGCCTGCACTTCCTTCCCTGCTTGGAGTCTCAGAAACAGCCCTCCCCTTGGCTGAGGGGCTGGTGGAGGTGCCGGCCAATCACAGCAGAGGAGGGCTTTTGGTGGAAGGATTCGCTCTCTGTTTCCAAAAAGGAAGAGAAGGACAGGCAAAGAGATCTTCAGCCTTCTCTGCCAAAGGGGTTCCTAAGACCAACAGAAATGAATGTTTTCTGATGGTCTTTGGCGACTCCCCCCCCCCCCAGGGGTCCCGACCCCCAGGTTGAGAAAAGCTGCCTTAGTGGATTATCTCTGTCTTAATATTAACAGGGGTATTGTGTTGGTGCTTCTAAACCTCTCAGTGATCTTCAGTACATTTACCATGTTAACCTTTGGGAGTCCCTAAAAGGGGGGCTGGGGAAGGCATTTTGTTTCAGTGGTTCTGATTATATCTCTAAGGCATGTTCCAGATAGTGATACTTGGGGATCTCTGTTCCTCAAAAAAGGAGCTGTTATATGGTATCCCACCAGGAGCCATTCTTTTCCCAGTGCTTTTTAACTTTTCCATTGAGCTGCTGGGAGAGATCTTGACCTCTTCTGGCAGACTTTCTCAGTCAATTTTAAACTGTGAATTTTAACTTAACCTTTTATTAGTATTAGTCTCAATATTTGTTCTATTTTAATATATACATTTTAATAATTTAATAATTTTATCTGTGGGTTCTAACCATGTTGTACCCTGTCTCAAGCTGTGAAGAGGTGGGTAATTAATAACAACAACACAAATATTTCAAGTAGCTGAACTATTTTCAAAAATAAAAAATAGGTGAGGGCTTGACCAATGAAATTAATTTTGGTTAATTCTAACATTATCAAATGATTTCCAAAAATAGTTTTTCAATCTCTGCATTTTATTTATTTGCATGTATATGCTACTTTTCTATAACAGCTTTAAAACAAAATAATAAAACCGAGAACTAACAAATAATTAAAAACAGTAAAACGGCTGACACTATTTAAAGACCAAATGTTGTAATCCACCTTCTTAAAGCATGAGAATGCTTTAACATACCACTGTATTGACCACCTCCATCCAATTAATGTTAAACCTTTCCATAGCCAATAAAAATTGTCTAGTGAACAGTATCTCACTTAAGTAAAGCTTTTCTTTTTTTACAGCCTCCTTTGCACCAATCAGTTTTGCAATCAGGGTCAAAGAGAATGACTTGCTCCCTTTGGAGAAAAACCGTGTGAAATTAGATGATGACAGTGACGAGGAAGGGGAGGAAGGTAAAGAAGGTCAAGAGAATGCAAGTAGCACTTCAAACACCGGTGTAGCATTTGCATCATCCAGTAATGCTCCTGAAGAAAGGAAGCCCCAGCTTACTCAGGAGGAGCTGGAGGCCAAACAAGGTAAAAAAAACCCCAGTTCTGATAGAAGAAAATAACCGAAACTTGTAAATTGTACAGTTCCATGAACTTCTGCCTTCATTTGTCATTGTTGCCATGTGCTCCTAATAATTTCCACAGGGTTTTCTTGGCATGATCTGGTTAGATGTTTGCCTTTCTTTTGTAGTCCAACATTCGAACCGCTACGCCTCCCTTCATTTAGATATGGCTAAGAAAGCCTTGAAGCAAGCAAGTAATATAGAGACACAGAGAGATAAACAGTAGGCAGAAACAATACAGGAGTCACTTTCTCTCTGTGTTAGATCTATATTTAGTTGGGTTTTTTTTTTAATGATCTGATTCAACTCTTCTATAGTTTTCTTTTTGTTATGGCCTGAAGGCAGTAAAATTGCTACTGCTGAGAGGTAAATAGAATTATTCACAGTATGGAAATTAGTCTTAATCATCAGGATGTTGGTTTGCCTGGTATAATCAGCTACTGCTGTATGATTGCTGCAAGCACCCATTTACTTTTGTACCATGTGTTCATATGCTCTAGGGATCTGCTATGTTAGGGCTGAATTGGATCCTACAGACTTTTTCCATTCCTTTTTGTTACGTAATGTGTTTTTTTTTATTATTGAAGCACTTTTTTTCCTTGTCTGCCCTTCATGATGTGTCTTGAGTGTCATGTCATTGAAGCATTTGTGGGCTCCTCCTCAGCAATTTGATATGCATTATGTTACAAGTTTTTTTTAATAATTATTGAACACAGTTATAATTATTCTTAATTATTAGCAGTCTCAAAAAATAGCATCTCCTCTTGTCCTTCTTTTAATTTACGCGTAACCTATTCCAAGTTGTTTATATCCTCAAAATGAGGTGCCCAGAACTGAACAAAGTACTCCAGAAGCCCATCCTACTGTTTTTACTCTCTTAGCAAAATAGAGGGCTCACTCTGTCTTCTTTCAAAATCTGTATTGCTTCTTGGCCCACTTTCCTCTCCTAGATAGATGTCAAAAATCCTGAGATTTTTGTTTTTCTTAAGGGATTCAACAGCTTTCATTCACTAGTATCAAAACCAGTTCTATGGTGGTCCCATCTGTACTGATTTGCACTGTACCGTTCTGTATTGTGAGAACTGAATTTCTGCACAGGATATCCCTACCCGATCTATACAAAGCAGCCACATGACCATTCATTTGACACTGCTGGCTAGATGTCAGGTCAGAAAGATATTTGAGGGTTGGAAGGTTAGTGTTGTCTTCTGCTCTTGCTTGACATGCTTCTTATCTTCAGATGTATAGTGTCGCTTGCCTGTAACTGTTCTCCTTTGAATGCCCATCTGTGAATTCATGCAATCCATTCTTTTGCTACAGTAGGCATATTTTAGAATCTCTCCCATCTTTCATTCCTTGATGGGGCTCTTAAATCTCAGCTCGTCTGAAAGCAAGGGAATGCTGCACATTTAGTACATCTTGATTTCAGTGAGACTTTTGACAAGGTTTCCCATTATATTTTTGAAAACAAGCTTGCAAAGTGCGAACCAAAAATGCTAATGCTGGGTGAATTTTAATTGGATGATGGGTGAAAGCCAAAGAGTGTGCCAGTGGTTCTCATCCTGGAAGAGAACGAGCCTGACTCCTTTTGCTAGTCTAGGGAAAAGCAGGCAATAAATGCCATGCAAGCAATTTCTTCAAGGTAACTTTGGAGTATTTTGTTCATATAAGAAGCATTATCTTTTGGTGGGCAATTTATTCTTTCCCCACTGTACTCCTGTTTGCAGATTCTGTAAATAGTAATTCACGTTGGAAAGCAACTGTGCTCATTAAATGTTCTTTAATTAGGACAATTCAGATAAAACACCTGCATGAATAAGATAATGATAGTAACTGATAGGATGGTTTTCTGTGTTGTTGATCTTACTACATTTCTGTTGTATCATTTTCATCTCTGTTTTCTTTGCCATGACTTCATTAACATAGAGAATCCTTTGCCTATAGATAACATTCTGATCCTCTCTAAAAAAATCACCAAAATTATTTTCCTACTTTAATTGTTCCTATAGTCATAATCATATTCCCTGTTTCTATTTCTTTCCATCTTTTCCAGTTAATAAAAGATTTGCCTTCCAAGCCGCTCTTCTTGATGGCAGGGCGGTGTTTGTTTTATTTTTGTACCATATCTGGTATATAAAGTAATTTTATGGACCATTAATGTAAGCTTAAAAGTATTCTTTTCATGGATGCATAAGCATATGGTTTCTATTTTGTTTTAGTTATACCAGTGGTTCTCAGCCTGGGGTCTCCAGGTGTTTTTTGGCCTTCAACTCCCAGAATTCCTAACAGCTGGTAAACAGGCTAGGATTTCTAGGAGTTGTAGGCCAAAAACATCTGGGGACCCCAGGTTGAGAACCACTGAGTTACATAGATTGGTATAAGAAATCCCAACCACCTAAAGTGCTAAGTGAATTATATCCTTGAAAACTCTCCACTTTTTGTATCCCTCCAGCAAAGCAAAAACTGGAGGACAGATTGGCAGCTGCAGCCAGGGAAAAGCTAGCTCAAGCATCTAAGGAGTCAAAAGAAAAGCAACTTCAGGCGGAAAGGAAAAGGAAAGCTGCTCTGTTTTTGCAGAATCTGAAGAATCCCTTGGCAGATGCAGATGTTGAGAAAATGGAGGAGAATGCTTTTAATATAGAGGTGAGTGTCATTTTGGCCAGCATGGCGCTTACTGCAGAAAGCCATACAATTAGGCACTGCTGTGAGAACAAGCCAAGACTATCTTATTCAAATAAGGATGGAGGAAGAATTCATAATTGAATCTCCCTTCCCATTCTTCTGTTCTCTTCCTATCTTCTCTTCCATTTTAAATCCCCCATTCAAAAATTGTGCGCCAACTGTGCTCGTTCCTTGAGATGTCAGATCTCACCATTGTGGTGCATGCCTTAGTTACATGGATTACTGTAATGCGCTCTATCTTCTCAGTGGTTGCCTGGGTGCTTCTATACTACCAGTCTTAAATTATAAATTGTATTGTTTTTAACATTGTTAGCCGCTTTTAGTTTCCTTTAGGAGAGGAAATAAGAACAACAACAAGAGCTACATTCACATGTTTTTGCCTCCTAGCAAGCCTAGGGGTACTTTGAGTTAAACCTAATTTCATCCTGTCACCCCATTAGTTAGTCGGCGGATGCGTCCTTCTCAGTAAATCTCAAGAGAACAACAAGCATCTGTCTCTAGGAGATCACTTGTGACCAAGTATGATTGTCTTCCAAGGGTGGAGTCTTTCTAGTGGATCAGTATGTGACTATGGTGACCTATTCTAGATCCACATGGTCTCTCACAATGAGGACATAAATAGATTTCCAGAAGGAAGGTTGCCACGACAAGTGTTTGCTTGACACAGCTTCCTCTGGGCATGTTTCTCCCTTTTGTCCCCTATTCGTGCCTCCTGAAAATCCACAGCACTGTTGGTAACAGCTGACCTCCAGTTTCAATGTGCTGGTGGTCTTTGCTTCTTCCAGAACGCTGATGTTTGTCTTCCTGTCTTTCCAAGAGATTTGCAGGATTTTTCAAAGACAATGCTGATTAATTTTTTTTCCAGAAGCCGAGAACAATGTTAATAGACAGCCCATGTTTTGCAGCCATACAGTAGAGTTGGGAGGACAGTGTCTTTCTAAACAAGCATCTTGGTATCCCTACAAATGTTCGGAACCTCAAACACTCTCTGGTTTGTTTGAAAAATGCTGTCCATACGAAGCTCAAGTGGTGTTGTATTTCACCGTCCATGTCAACTTTTGTGGAGGGGTAGCTGCCTAGGTAGCCACCTCTTCACAAAAAATGCTCAATGCTTTCTAGCGTTACACCATTAAGCTTTATTTCTGGCATTGCAGAGGGATTGGTTTGTGCCTGCTGATAGAGCACTTAGGTTTTCTCGATATTCACTGAGAGACCACGCTTTTCATATGCTGCTGCGAAGTTTAAAGTAGTTTGTGGGAGCACAGACTATATTATCGTCAGCATATTGGAGTTATATAACAAAAGTTGTTACCTTTTGGCTTTGAGCCTACTGAGGTTAAACTGCTTGCCATCTGTTTGATATGTGATTTCCACACTGGTGGGAAGCTTCGCATCGACAAGGTGTATAATCATAGCTATGAAGATGAAAAATAAGGTTAGGGCAATAGCACATTCCTGTTTGACACTTGATCCCACTTTAAATGGGTCACTTTGGGAGTTCTTGCTGTCCAAATCTGTTGTCATCATGGAGAAGCTGCAAGATTTTCACAAATTATCAGGGCATCCGATTTTCAAGAGGATGGTCCATAGAGCATTATGATTCACAGTGTCAAAGGCCTTTGCAAGGTCAATTTTTTATTTATTTATCATATCAGGAGAACTAAGGGTACAGTTGTGATGTATTTAAAAACACAAAGTTTAAAAACTTGGCATTATATTAAATGTCCTTTGACCAGTAGCTGGCAACTTGGAGTGCGTCTGGTATTGCTATAAGGAGGTCCTTCATTGTGCATGTGGCAGGGCTCAAACTTCATTTTAATAGGTGGTTTGTGGTTTTCTCATCTCCACACTTGCATGTCATGGACTGCACTTTGTGGCCATATTTCTTCAGGTTGGCTTTGCATCTCATGGTGCCAGAGCACAGTCTGTTCAGCGCATTCCAAGTCGCCCAGTCTTCTATGTGCCCAGGAGGGAGTCTCTCATTTGGTATCAGCCATGGATTGAGGTTGAGGGGTTTGAGCCTGCCACTTTTGGACTCTTGCTTGCTGAGATGTTCCTGCATGTATCTCTGTAGATCTTAGAAAACTATTTTTTGAGTTAAGGCGTTGATGTGTTGGCTGATATCCAAACGGGGTGGGAGATGTCACTACCATGGTCCTTTTATTATTGGCTGCTACCTCCCGAGGGATGTCAAGTGCTGCAATACTGGCAAAACAGTGTAATTTCTCTAGTGGTGTAGGGTGCAGACATCCTGTGATAATGCGGTATGTGAGATGTGTTCCACACTGGGCATGCGTACTTAGCAGCAGAGTAGCAAAGCACAAGGCAGATGTCTCCACTGTATCTGGTTGTGATCTCCAGGTTGTGCCAGTCAGCTTTTTGCTTGATATTCAAACAGTGGTTCTTGCAGGTCAGAGAACGGTCCAGGGTAACTCCCAGGTATTTGGGTGTGCTGCAATGCTCCAGTGGGATTCCTTCCCATGTAATCCCCAAAGCTCAAGATGCTTGTCTGTTCTTAAGATGAAAGGCACATATCTCTGTTTTAGATGGATTAGGAATGAACTGGTTTTCCTGTAATAGGCAGTAAGAGCACCTAATGCTTCGGAAAGCTTCTGTTCAACCATATCTACGCTCTTCTTGAGCGGTGGTGGCACGATCGTTGATGAATGCTATGTACAAAGGTTAATGTTGTTCCCTGCATTTTTCTTGGAGCTGTTGTACCATGAAAATCATATCCACTGTTCCTCTGGAGGGACAGAAACGATTTTGAGATTCAGGGAAGATGTCTTCTAAATAGGTAGAAGACAGTTCACAAGGATTCTTGTGAGAATTTTTCTGGCAGAAGTTAAAAGAGAATACCTTAGTTGTTTCCACAGTCTGTTCTTTCTCCCTTTTTGTAAAGAGTGATGATAATGATGATGAAGTCCTCTGGGATCTTCTCGGTCACCCACACTTTTTCAGTGAGCTTGTGGAGTTGTTGTGTCAGATGGGGCCTTCTTTCTTTAAAGATTTCAACAGGGAGTTCATCAGATCTGCAGGCCTTGTTATTTTTAATTGGTTGATGACTTTACTGACTTCCTCCAAACTAGGCAGTGCTGCAAGCTCACCTCAGGTTTGTTGTTGCAGAATTTGTGAGAAAACCTCTTCAGCCACATTGGAACTGTGGTTATAGAAGTTATGGTAATGCTCTTTCGGTCACAGTGCAGTAGATTTTTTTGTCCTTTTGAAGTTTGGTTCCATCTGATGAAAGGAGAGCAGGCATCCTCAAACTGTGGCCCTCTAGTTTTTTGGACCTCCAACTCCCAGAAGCCCTAGACAGCTTGTTCAGTAGTCAGGAAGGCAACACTGGTTTGACCAACTGCTGTGGATGCCTTGTCACAGTTATCACCATTTCAGCGAGTGGCTGGATTCGTCAACCAGATATCAAACCCTTCATCTGACGACAGATTGGGTTCCAAGATCTTTGAACATGACTATCTGTCGAATCCTGGAGGCTTGTCATAAGCCTAACACCAAAAGTTATATGTGTTCAAGTGGGGGAGACCAGATGGTTCTCTCCTCACCAGGCTACCAATGCTGATGTCCTTGAGTTTCTGGGGTTCTTGGCTGATAAGGCCCTTTCTTGGTTGTTGGTGAAGGTTTACTTATCTGCTATTTCCTGTAATATGCAGAGATTGGGTAAACTCTCTTGCCTTTCAAGTCCTTGGATTCAAAGTTTTTTAAATGGTTGTAATATTTGTATTCACCTGTGCTACATCCAGTCCCAGACTGGAACATCGAACTGGTACTATCAAGGCTTATGGGCAAACCCTTTGAACATTTATTTATTTATTTACTTTACTTTACTTTACTTGTATACCGCAGTTTCTCAGCCTAACAGGCGACTCAACGCAGTTTACAACAAAGGTACAACAGTCAACAATATACAATTTAAAACCATAAAAGCATAATACACAATATTGACACAACAATAACAACCCAATGCATCTCATGACTAAAATCGTGATCCAGTTTCGTCGTCCATATTACCATTCCTGTAATCATCACATTCATTGCACCGATTAACCAAATGCCTGTTCGAACATCCAGGTTTTTAATCTTCTTCGGAACACCATCAGCGAGGGGGCTGATCTTACCTCCATGGGAAGGGCGTTCCATAGCCGAGGGGCCACCACAGAAAAGGCCCTGTCTCTCGTCCCCGCCAGCCGCACCTGTGAAGCAGGCGGGATAGAGAGCAGGGCCTCCCCAGAAGATCTTAGGGTCCTGGTGGGCTGATAGGCCGAGATACGTTCGGATAGGCCGAGATACGTTCGAACATGTCCTTTGTACTTGTTAACATGGAAGACCACCTTTCTTATTGGGATTACCTCTGCGTGTTGAGCCAGAGAGCTCTGCGCACTTCTTAAGATTGGCCTTTCCTGTCTTTCTGACCTGACAGGGTAATTTTCAGACCTCCTTACCAAAGGTGGTGTGCAAAATGGCAGAAATCCGTTCTGGTTTTCTGCAGTTTTTGTTTTGAATTTTGGGTGCCCCCCCCCCCCCCAAAAGTCCTTTTTTCAGGAAGATTCTTCTTGAAACTGAAACGGAACCCAGGGTTCCAAATTATAAATCTGAACAGCCTCCCCTTAATCTCCCAGAGTTTTCCCAAACACAAGAGTGGCACCTGAAAATAGAAAAGATTTCTGCCATTTCGCATACCCCTAATTTTCATGTGAACCAGGACATTGTTTTACCTACCTTGCATCCTTGGAGATAAAGTTTCACTTGCTTGATGTGAAGCATGCCCTAGCTTTCTACTTGGACAGGACTCACAATGTCTCGAATTAGCATAGACTGTTTCTTGCCTATACTGTGGACAAGTTGGGACTACTTGCGTCTCCTCAAAAATAATCAAAACTGATAGTTTCTACCATAAACCTTTGTTATGAGCTCTCTGGGAAACAACTGCTGGACCATGTTCA